CACCAGTGCTCAGTGAGGGTTGAGCAGGGACAGTGTGGATGGGTGGGAGGGCAAGTTGCCTGGCATAGAAGGTGGGACCTAGAAACAGTTACAGTTACCATTAAGTTGACTTCAGCTTATGGTGACCCTGTGCTCTGTATAAGACAGAGGTCCCCAGGCTGCGGAAAATTCCACTGCCTCAAGCAGCTTGCTTGGCACGCTGTAGCTTTACATTAACATCCCAGCTCCCCTTTCCTTAACTGCTGCCCACAACTAGAGGACATTGGCAGAAACCAGTTTAGGTGTTATGTTGACATTCTGGATAACCTTTTAGCTCAGGAAGCACCTCATACATTGTAACTTCCCGCCTCTGGGTGGAGTTTAACTGCCATTTTCTGAACACGCGATGCACGAAGTTGTATGTAAACCCCATTGTGCCTGTGTAGTTTGATTAAGAAAGTTGCTGATGTCACTTGTATGAACTTCCTGCTTGTAAATCCCATAAAAGTAACCTTCCCTCTCACCCTCACTGAGCAGTCTTGGCAGTAGCAGCCCCAACTCTTCCTTTCTTTGCACAACTAAATAAAGGCCTTTTCCAGTCTCCCACCGTGGCCTCTCCTTTATTGGGTGAGACGAGTCGCACCGAGCAGAAGCTGGGATTTCCACCCAGCCACACAGGGGGTTTCCAATGGCTAACTTTTCAGGATTAGATAGCCAGGCCTTTCTTCCGAGGTGCCTCTGGGTAGACTCGAACCTCCAAACTTTCAGTTAGCAGCTGAGCATGTTAACCATTTGCACCACGCAGGGATTCCAAGATCTAGAAAAGGGGCTGAGAAAGCTGTCCTCCCTTCCCCCCCCACCCCCCACCTTTTCCTTCTCCTTCTCTCTCTCTTCAAGGTATTGAGAATGGAAAACTGGAGCAGGAGCCTGAAAAAGCCACTAGTGTGTTAGGCTGAGGGCAGTGGAAGTGGTTGATGGGGTGACCAACTGTCCCAGTTTGCCTGCAACTGAAGGGTTTCCCAGGATTTGGGATTTTCAGGTCCCAAAGTTCTCCCAAAGGTGCCCAAGGCAGAGGCATATCTAAGGTATGGCAAGGGAGGGGGGTGTGCACCAATGAGCAGTTTCTATTGCTCATCCACGTTTCCATCACCAGCTGTGAGAGATCATTCAGCAGTTTAAAACTAATTGCCATAGGCGCTATTTTTGCAGAGATACACTGCTGCCAAGGTCACTAAAACCAGGAAGGACCTGAACATAGTGGGATGAGTGGGTCACCCTGGGGGTGATGTGGACATATTTATATCTTTCCTGCCAATATGTATCAGGCTTTCTTTGACTTCCCTACCAGAAAGTTACTTTTCATGCTAACAAGCCACCTGGGAGTGTTGTGTGAACAGGGAACTGTATTCCACATTTAATGTCGTATCCTAAACTGGATACAGACTACTGCTGGCGGCCTAGGACAGAGGTGACCTGGAGGATCCTGGGCATTAAAGGGGAAGGAAACCAGTGTTTAGGAGTTCCTCAGTGGTGCAAATGGTTAAGCGCTCACCTACTAGCCAAATGATTGGCAGTTTGAACCTACCCAGAGATGCCTTGGAAGACAGGCCTGGCGATCTGCTTCTGAAAGGTCACAGCCTTGAAAACCCTATGGAGCAGTTCTACTCCGCACACATGGGGTCACCATGAGTCAGAATCAACGTGACAGCAACTAACTACAACTCTGTTCCAGACGCCTGGTCAGTTGCTTTCACTGATGTTATTTCTTTCAACCTCACAAAAACCCTGCAAAGTACGGTTTGTTACAGGTGTGAACACTGAGGCTCAGAGCGGTTAAGGAACTTGCTTAAGGTATCTTAGTAGGAGGCAGAGCTGAAATTGGAAACGAAATTATCTGACTCCCTTTCTGTCCTGTATGCCCCCTAGAGTCCCAGACAGGGACTCCCAGTGGTGATTTGAACCCAAAGGTCGACAGCAGAGAAAGAACAAGAAAACTCCAAGGTCCCAAAGATGAGGACAGCTCAGTTCAGGGCTGGGGCTGACGGCAGCGGTAGGTTCCAGGTCCAAGAGTATGCCTGGAGAGCGTCTTGTGCCCATTTTGTTGGCATTCATGTCCATGATGGGGGCAGGAGGTGGCGGAGGGGAGGACTCAGTTCGGGCTCGGCTCAGCCTTGGTGCCTGGACTCTGCCTTCGATCTGAGGGACCCGAAGGGACCCAATGAGAAAATATCCCTTGCCACTGAGTGAGAGAGGCCAAGGAGAGCAGATTGCACCAGAGTCTGGGAGGTCCAGGCAGGGCCAGTGAAGCAGCCCAAGTGACGGGTGGGCGAGGCAGGGCTGGGACCCCACTGGGATGAGGGACTGATGTATTGAGGCTGGAGCATGAGGGCTGCATTGGGGTTTCCTTCCCAAGGATTCAAAACTCCAACCTCCAAGCCCATACTGGATGGCAAAGCAGCCCTGTGTGGCTGTGGCCTGAGGGGCTTCTGGGCCATCCCGGCTCTGAGGCCCAGTACAGAGAGCCCGACGATGAGGCCTACTGGGTTCCTCCTCTTCCCTGCAGCCCACCCTCGGGACTTCACACCCAGGCCCTGGACCAGGTTCATAGAGGCAAGGAGTCTACAGTTAGTCCAGTGTCCCTCTCACTCTTGGCCAGGATGGCGGGTGTGTACTGAGGAGAGAGACGAGTTTCCACAAGCTGCCCTGGGTTCCCTCTGCCCCAAACGCTCTTCCCCCAGTATCCTCTTGGTTCACTCCCTTACCTCCTTCAAGCTTTTCTCAAATGGCACGTTCTTACTACCCTGTTTAAAATTGCACCATCCCACATCCCTTGGCCACTCCCAATACTCCTTGTTGTTGTTAGCTATCATTGCATCGATTCCGACTCATGGCGACCCCTTGTGTTTCAGAGTAGAACTGCTCCATAGAGTTTTCAAGGCTTTTGGAAGCAGATGGCCAGGGCTGTCTTCTAAGGTGCCTCTGGGTAGGATCAAACCCCCAACTTTTCAGTTAGCAGTCCAGCACTTTACAGTTTGTGCCACCCAAGTACTCCTCACAATATGCCTAACCCTGCTTTATTTTAAATTTTCCTGATTACTTTTTGTCTACTAACATACCATCTGATTTACTTATTTGTTGCATTTATTGTCTGTCTCTCCCCACCTCACGCCGCTGGATCGTGATCTCTGTGTCAGCAGAAATCTCTGCCCGTCTTGTTTGTTCACAGCTGTATCTCCAGTGCCCAGAATAGTACCCACCACATGGTACATGCTCAAAAAAATATATGTTGAGTAAATAATTGAGCAAATGAGCCAGACTGAGCTAGAAGGGAGGGCAACTTGAATGCCAAATGAAATTTGGATTTCTAGACTCAACAAGGGACCTTGGGTAAAGCCCTTTCCCTCTTTGAGCCTCAGTTTCCCTTCTAAACAATGAGGGGTTTGGATTAGGTCTTAGTTTCCTAGTGTTGCTATAACAGAAATGTATTTTCTCACAGTTTGGGAGGCTACAGGAGAAGGCCCCTCTCTGTCGGCTCTGGCAGAAAGTCCTTTTCTCGTTTAGCCTCTGTTACCCCAGCATTCCTTGGTTCCTTGGCTATCTTCCCCCACTTTGTGCTTCTCTCCCTAGGCGGCACAAATGGTTAAGTACTTGACTACTAATGAAAGGTTGGTGGTTCAAGTTCACTCAGGGGCATCTTGGAAGAAAGGCCTGGTGATCTGCTTCTAAAAGGTCACAGCCCTGAAAACCCTATGGAACAGTTGTACTGTGAAACACATGGGGCCACCATGAGTCTGAATTGACTCAATGGCAACTGGTTTTTTGGTTTATAACTCAGAAATGATCAGGTTTAGGAAATACCCTATACTGATATGACCTCATTAACATAACAAAGAAAACCCTATTTCCAAATAGGATTATATCCACAGGCATAGGGGTGTCCCCCGAAATATGTGTCAGCTTCGCTAGGCCATGATTCCCAGTGTTGTATGATTGTCTGCTATTTTGTCATCTGATGTGATTTTCCTATATGTTGTAAATCCTACCTCTACGATGTTAATTAGGCAGGATTAGAGGCAGTTATGTTAAAGAGGCAGGACTCAATCTATAAGATTAGGTTGTATCTTGAGTCAATCTCTTTTGAGATATAAAATGGAGAAGCCAGCAGAGAGACAGAGGGACCTCATGCTACCTAGAATGAAGAACCAGGAGAGGAGTACATCCTTTGGAACCAGGGTCCCTGGGCTGAGAAGCTCCTAGACCAGGGGAAGATTGATGACAAGGACCTTCCTCCAAAGCCAACAGAGAGAGAAAGCCTTCCCCTAGAGCTAGTACCCTGAATTTGGACTTTTAGCTTCCTAGACTCTGAGAGAATAAATTTCTGTTTGTTAAAGCCATTCACTTGTGGTATTTCTGTTATAGCAGCACTAGATAACTAAGACAAGGGGTTAGGATTCCAACACACATTGTGGGGAGACACAATTCAATCCAAAACAGACCAGAAGTTTCCAGCTCTGATACACTACGCTCTGTGACTCAAGCCCTTGTCATATCTCTGGAGGGGAAGTAGCATGAGGAAAACAGAGCTATGGGGAGATGGACAGATGAGTCATCGGGGAGCTGGATGGACCTGGAGGAAGGAGCTGGGGGGTTGTGGGGCAGGGAGGTCAGCAATAATCCAAGGAAAGCTGATGGTAGGGGTGAAGACAGGCAGAGTGGAGAGGAAGACTAGATGCTAGAGAAATTCTAGAGGAGAAGGAGGCAGCACTTGGTGATTAGATCTAGGAAGGGTGCACAGAGAAGAATAAAGAAGTTGATCGCCAGATTTGGAGCCTGTGAGCATTGGAGGGATTCGGTATCGTAAAGGCTCTAGACCTTGAGGGGCCAAACCTTTTATCTTTTCCTCACCGTAATTGATTCTCCTAGCCCTAGCAGGAGAGATGGCCTTCATGAAGCCCAAACCCATCCAGTTGACGTGAAAGTCTAGAATTTATTTGTGAGAGTGTTTAATGTCCAATGCCCAGAAGTTGACAGATGGCCCTTCACACCCCTCTCCCCAAGAAGTCCCTGCTCCTAGGGGCCTGGGGAAACAGGGTGCAGGCAGAGTGGCCTCTTGCCAGGGCAGAACCAGAAGTCTTGGTGGCTGAGAGGGCGAGTGTACAGGTGGGCTGATCCCTGGCTGGACTTCTAGGCCTCTCCTCCCATCTGGACTCCTGTCAGGTGTCTCTCAGCCCTGCAATAGAACAAATCCTCATGTGGCCCTCTTAGCCTCACAGCCACCCCTGCCCTACCCACCACCCAACTACTGCCATGCTCTCAAGCTCACCTGTCACAGTTTGGAGCTGGTGCCCTGGATGACGGTCATGGTTGAGCTCACTGGCTGGGGGTGTCCTCAGCTTCCACCCACGCCAAGCTGCAACCCCGAGGACACTGGCTACTAGAAGCTTACTGAGAAAGATGCAGGCCAGGAGGAGAAGGATGGAAGTGTGTGAGAAGGGGGTGTCCTCTTCAGAGAGGCTCCTTGGAGAGACAAGGAGGGGAGGTGGGAGGCCTTTAGACGGAGTGCAGACGGGAATCTGCCATCAGAGAGAGAAATGAGGAGAAACCAGGAGCTTCTGGGGCCTCAGAATGCCTTCTTCCCACCACCCCACCTCTTATGGGACTTTGTGGGGCTCAGGGAGCATGTAGTCAGGAGACCTGAGTTCTAGTCATAGATATCCCACTTACCTGCTGAGTGCACTTAACACGTAACCTTTGTTCTCAGAGTGTTTTTCTGCAGTACGCAATGGTATGGTGTGTGCATGTGTGTGTACACAGGCATGGACCAATCAGAACTGATTCTGGCCCTACCAAAGGGGCAGGGTTCTGGGGTCTCCCTTTTGCATGGTCCTAACACTTTCGTTGTTGATTGATTGTGGAAGTATCAGAAGGCTGCTTGGGGAGGGGTAGGAGGTGCCCATTCAGGAGGCATGGAGCAGCTATTTACAAGCTAGTATGGACGTATTTCACTATTTTAACTAGAACAGCACATCAGCCTGTCCTGGCTGTTTGGAGGAGTGTTTAGACAAGACCATAGCCAAGCCCTTTCATGCTCTAATTGCCTTGGGATTTGTAGTTCTGGGACCCCACCATCCACCCTGTGTCGGGCCTTGGCAGGGTGGAAGTCTACCCTGGGATCTTAGTGAAGACCTGTCACGGTACCTGGAGATGCTGTGCTCCATTTGGGCCTCCTCAAAGCTTTCCGGTTCCTTGGGGACCCAGAAATCTCCAGGGTCCTGGGAGTCAAGGGAGTCTGTGGGAGACAGAGTCTGTGAGCTTCTAGTCCCCTCCTCCTTGAGGCAGGCTGCAGTGGTGGGTGGGGAAAACCCTGCATGTGGGATTAGGCACTCTGGACTCTGTTCCTGTGTGGATCAAGTCATTTCACCTCTCTGAGCCTCAGTCTCTTCATCTGTAAAGTGGGGTAATGAGGAACACCTCCTTAATAACTGTGATACCAGGATTTGGTGAGAGAATCTCTGAACAGGGCCCAGTACCTCCTAAGAGCTCATAACTGCAACACCATCTCCCACCACACAGGGGCTTTGTAAGGATCAAATGGAATGATGAAAGTAAGGCAGCCCCTGGGTTACAAACGAGCTGTTGCTAGGTGTGTCTTTAAGTCAAATATGCAGGTAAGTCAGAACAGGTGCTTACCGTTCCTATTTAGCCTTACTTTAGTGCAAGAAAAGGCTCAAAGCCTTTTCAATGATAATTTGTTGGGAGTAGGGGTTTGTTCAGAGCCTTGGCGGTGCAGTGGTTAAGAGCTCAGCTGCTAACAGAAAGATGGGCAGTTTGAATCCACCAGCTGCTCCTTGGAAACCCTATGAGGCAGTTCTACTCTGTCCTATGGGGTCGCTTTGAGTTGGAAATGTCTCCACCATAACAGGTTTTGGGTAGGGCTTGGTTCAATGTTTTCAAAGTGAGGGCACATTTACATAACATTAAAGGGCAAGAAGGAGTCCTTAAGTCTGACGTTCATAACCCAGGGACTTGCTGTACTTGAAAGTCCTGTGTAAATAAACTGTTAAGCAGTCTACACAAGCTACGGATTATTATTATTATCATAGTATTATTTTCCTGCCACTGTCATGGGAGTCGGCTGAGCCTTAAAAAACAAACAAACAAACAAAAGAAAAACACTGCCATCAAATCGATTCCAACTCACGGCAACCCCGTATGTTTTAGAGTAGAACTGTTCCATAGGGTTTTCTTGGCTGTAATCTTTATGGAAGCAGATTGCCAGGCCTTTCTTTCACAGCACCACTGGGTGGGTGGGTTCCAACCTCCAAACTTTTGGTTAGTAGTCACGTGCAAACCACTTGTGACACCCAAGAACCTTCTGACTGAGCCTTAGACCCTGAAAATTCCTGTCCTCCCCACCTCCCACACACACTTAGAAAAGCAGAGGTGGCATTTGTATCTTGGCCAGGTGGTCTCCCATACCCCACTACCCGCCCCCCGCCACCTCCAGCCCAGGCAAATTCTACTCTGGATCCTCATTTCCATGATAAGGGCCATGTTTAGGGGAGGAGAGAGTCAGAAAAAGTATAAATAACCTCAGCTTCGGTCTCCTTTGGGACACAGCCGTGTTCTGGAGACACTGATGGAGGGCTTTCCAGGAGAGTGTCCCCTGTGCAAAGGAGCCACCCCATCTCACCTCCATCAGACCTGGAATGAGGATTTCAGGACAGTTGAACCACAGGAGGCTCAGGCACAGGGCATCTCTTACCCCAGAGCACTGTTAAGTCTGTCATCTCGTCTGTGCCTCACGTGAGCCCTGTGGGTCAGCAGGATGGACACCATGGTATCCATCTACAGATGAGGAAATGGGGGCCCAGAGAAGTGAAGCAACTTGCCCAATGTCACAGCAAGCGTTCTTTCTAGGGTTGTTTTTCTGCACCACGTTGGTGCTTAATTTATGTTGGTAGGTTCGTTGGTTGGTTGGATGAGGAAATAAATGAATCTCCTCCTACTCCTTAAGGATCACCACAGTGTTCATGTATTACCAGTTACCAGTTGCCTTGAAGTCGATTCCAACTCATGGCGACCCCGTGTGCGTCAGAGTAGAGCTGTGCTCCATAGGGTTTTCAATGTCTGGTTTTCTGGATGTAGATTGCCAGGACTTTCTTCTGAGGCACCTCTGGGTGGATTTGAACCTCTAACCTTTCTGTTAGCAGCCAAGTGCATTAACCATTTGCACTATGCAGGGACTCCATTCACATATTAACCCGATGCCAGAGGGGTAAAACTGTCCGGGGAAGCAGGGCCACAGCTGGCTCATATAATGAACGCCTTATGCAAATTAAAGAAAGTGCCCTTCCTGCAGGTTTGCAGTCCTGCACAGGGAGCTCAGCCAGGTGAGAGGAGTCCAGGCCGGATTTTGGCCCCCTTGTGCAAGAAGTCCTAGGTGGTGCAAATGGTTAAGCACCTGATTACTAACAGAAGGTTGGTGGTTTGAACCCACCCAGAGGTGCTGTGGAAGACAGGCCTGGCATCTGCTTCTGAAAGGTCACAGCCTTGAAAACTTAAGAGTAGCTCTGCTCTGCAACACATGGGGTTGCCATGGTTTGGAATCGACTCAATGGCAACTGGGGCGTGTGTGCGGGTGCAGTAAGCAACCTGCAGAATCATCCATGGTGGCCCTGAGTAGCGGGCAAGGTCCACACTGTGGGTTTTCCCAGGGTCCCCAAAAGCCCAGCGGGTGGTCCTGCACACAGACACCAAAGACATGAACCCTGGCCCATAGGTGGGCCAGAGGTTCGGTCAGCCGCCCACTCACCAGGCAGCACCTCAACCAGGACCTTGCTGAGGATGTCAGCCTCGCTGCCGTGGAGGCTCTGGCACTGGTAGAGGCCAGCATCAGGGGCTTGAAGGTTCCGCAGCGTAATGGTGAGTGTGCCACCCAGGATATCATCCGTGATAGCTGTGCTCCCATTCCACCTCTTCAGGAAGGACAGCAGCCATGAGCGGTGGGTGCTGACCACCCGCTGGCACAGGCCCTCCTTGCCCAGCTGTCGGCACCAGGCCTTGCGCCTCCCCCAGTGCTTCGAGGAGTCGTAGGGGCAGAAGACCTGCAGGGGCCGGCCTGCCACACCCTGGAACACTGTGGTGTTGTGGGCTCGGGACAGTCCTGGGGAAGAGACATTCATCCATTCCTTCACTCATTTACCAGATGTTTATTGAACACCTACTATGTGTAGTGAGCAAGTCAGACAAAAATCCTGCCCTTAAGAAGCCTAAGTTCTTATATAAGTTGAGAGAAGGGAGCACAGCCCAGACGTGAACACAGGAGAGCTGGGAACCAGGAAGCCTGGATTCTGGATCCGGCATTGTCACTGTTGGACTTGCTGGGTGTTTCTGGAGATCTAACTGACCCTCTCTGGGCCTATTTCCAGAGACATCTGGTCTGCAAGTCCTCTCTAGTTCTATTCCACACATCTTCTCTCATCATATGGAACCAAGACCTCCCTTCTCCCCTATCCACCTCACGAGAGCAGGGCCAGTGGCCCTGCCGGCCCTGGGGCTAGCTCCGCGGGTGCTGGGCTGGGCGTGCTCCCCGTCCTGACCCTACTGCTTACTGTGCAGCCGCCCACGCTGGTACTGCCCGTTCACATTCTCCTCTTCCCTGACCTTTAGCTTCCAGCTTCCCTATTTTTGTGGCTTTGTTCCCCTTTCAGGAGGGACTCGTCTCAGAGTTATTTTGGGGGAGACATGAGGCTGCTATTTTGGGTGCCCTCTAGGGTGGGGGAGATGGGCTTGAAATGTCAGCCTATTTCCAGTGCAAGGGCTGCAGGGGACTCACCGAGAACCTTCTGCCTCAGTTCCCCCTCTTTTGATCCTCCTCCCTTTACCCCATCTCTAACCGGGCGGTGACAGAAACTTGAAAAATGGGATCAGGGAGCTGGTGGCCTGCTGTGTGGAACCGATTGGCAGGGCCCCTCTGCATATGTCCTCCATCCGTTCTGCTGCCTCACGCCAACAAGCCCCAGAGCCCCCTCCCCACCTCAAGCTATGAAGCTGCAGGAGCAAGACTCCATTGTGAGTTTCCCCTATCACCCAGGTTCACCCATTGCTCTGGGGGACCAAAAGGGGCCTCTTCCCAAAGGGAAGAACTTGAGGTGTCAGCCTCTCATCTCAGTGACAGAAATCTTCAGCCCCTCACCTTCCAATGAGGGCTGAGGGCAATATGGACAAGAGGACCTTCAGACCTCAGGAGGAGGCTCCCTGAAGACACAGGCTGCCCGTCTCAGTTCCTTTCTTCCTTCCTCCCCTCCCTCCCACCTTGGCACTCCTCTGGGCTGGCCCTATGCTGAAGTAGTGTGTGATTTTTAGGGGCTCTTATAAGAGCCCCCAAGACTTCCCTAGCTGCAGCTAGTACTTGAGATACCACCCTCAGAACCCGTTCCCTGCCGATGTGGCCAGAGTCCACCAGCCCTATTACCCCCAAATGCATGAAAAATCTGGCAGCAGGTTTGATACTGACGGTGGACAGAGCATGAGGAATATGGGTTGGGGGCGGGGGGAGGACAGGGGTGCAGGACAGGGGGCTGCAGCATGCCGAGGATCCCCTCCTTCATAGTTCGGTTGAGCGGCCCCCCATCAATACCAGCTCAAGGAAGGGGAGGAAAAGAGGCTGGGAGGAGGAGGACAGGGATCCTACCTGTGACAGACAGCAGTAGGAGCAGCCGGAGAGGCTCCATGTCGCTCTTCTCTGGGCAAGGGAGATGTGGGGCGCCTTGTGCAAGATCTCGTTTTTCCCTTGGACTGCAGAAAGTAGAGGATCAGGCACATCAGGCACTGCCCACAGGAACTGGGCTCCTGGGGATTGAGCAACAGTCAGGACAGGGGTCGGGCTTTATGATTCAGAGCCAGGGTGCGAGGTGGGGAGGAGGGGAAGAGGAGCAGCCACTGCGGCCCAGGGCAGGCCGGGCCCCAGACCCCCTGAGGCCAGCCCACCGCCCTTCCGTGCCAACCAGAGTGGGCCCCCCGGGCTGGGGCTGGTCAGGATCTGCTTGGTCTCCTTGCAGAGCCTAGTCCAGGGACGCAAGCCTCACTGCTGTGGTCACACCCTCCTGCAGTCGCTGAGCCATCCTCTACTTCCAGCCTTGCACAGGTTGGAGAGCAGCTGCTGTCTCTGAGGTCAGGAGCCTTACTCAGCCCCTCTAGTCTGTCGCTCTGGGGCAGACACCCCTTAGTATGGTAGCAGTTAAGAGTGGGATCCTGGAGCCAGACTACCTGGCATTCAACCCTTCCTTGCTCACTTCCTGCACGTGTAAACACGAGCCCATAACCCCTCTGCATCTCCTTCCCATACCTATACAATGGGAAATGATAGTGTTTAGAGTTATTGGGAGAATCAAATTAATTTCTACAGGTAAAGTGCTTTAGAACAGGGCCTGACGAGTTAGCACTCCACAAATATTACCTATTACTTTTATCTCAGTTAGCAAGGAGAAGGGAAAATGGGCTGTTATGAGAGAGTTTTTGGTCCCACCTGGAATTTCCTGCCCGAGGTTTAACCTCCTTTGAACAGTCGGGCGCCTCTTGTGTACAGACGCACACTGCCATTACTTTTGTGCACACACACACCTTGAACTCCCAACCATCCTATGGGACAGGACAGGAAATAATAGTTCCTGGATTTCTGGGGGTGGGATGTGTTTTTTTCATAGGTAGGGGTCCCTGTGAGAAGTGACCCGGCACAGGGACCCTCAAGTGTAAAAGCACAGAGGTGTGACATGCCCCAGTGAGTTGGAGGGCAGTGGGGCGGGGGGTTGGGGTGGAGAAAAACAAAAACCCATTGCCATCAGTCGATTCCAACTCACAGTGACCCTATAGGACACAGTAGAGTTGCCCCAAAAAGTTTCCAAAGAATGGCTGGTGGGTTCGAACTGCCAACCTTTTGGTTAGCAGCCGAGCTCTTAACCACTGCACCACCAGGGCTCCTGAGGGGTGGAGGTTTGAAGTAATTCCCAGAGGCAGGAAAGTGAGTTGTGCTGGCGGTAATAGCAGGAGAGGCTGGAGGAGTCTGCAGGGTCCTACAGATTGTCGGTGTCTACTTTGGGTAGTACAAGCAGTTAAGGCAATCAGCTGCTAACTGAAAGGTTGAAGGTTTGAGTCCACCCAGAGGTACCTAGGAAGGAAGGCTTGGAAATCTACTTTCAAAAAATCAGCCATTGAAAATGCTGTGGAGCACAGTTCTACTCTGACACACATGGGGTCGCCATGAGTTGGAGCTGACTCAGTGACAACTGCTTTGGTTTGGTTAGTCTTCTCCAAGCATTCATTTATTTGTTATTTTATTCATTTATTTGCTCGTGTTTACTGTGCATCTACCATGTGGACAGTGTGTTTGAAGCTGGGGAATCAAGGGTGAATGTAAGACAGTTCTTCACTTATAATACCAACAGTCCCACCTTGACCTATGAGTTTAGAGAATAAGGGGCCTGGTGCCACCTGAGGATCACTCTATAGGTGCCCTTCCATGGTCTATTTTTTAAGAAACATCAGGTTTATTCAGAAAAATTCACCCATCGTAGGTGTCCAGTTCTACGATATTTGACAAACTCATACATCTGTGTAGAAACATTTCCATCAGCCCAAGTAGTCCGCTTGTGCCCCTTTTGGTCAATATCCTCCCTTCCCATTCAGGCCCTGGCAACTACTGATCTGACTTCTGTTCCTATAGACTTGGCTTTTCTAGAATGTCATAAATGCATTCAACATGGATGAAGTTGTACTTCTCAGTAACTCATTGCTTTTTATTGCTGAGTAGTATTTCACAGCATGGATGTACCACAGATAATTTATCCAGTCACCAGCTAATGGACAGGAACATTTCTGCCTGCCCATCTCCCAAGTCCAGGGTCCTTCCTCTTTGCTTTGCCAACTCTGAGTTCAAAGATACTTATCTCCTCACATATGGGCACAGAGATCTGTTCCATCATTCCACTGAACTCTGCCATTCACTGGTGCATGCATTCAGTTAACCGCCATGTATGTGCCAGTCACTGCGCTAGAGAACTCAGGCCTCTTGGAGCCTCAGTGTCCCTGGATATGATGATGAGCATTGCTGGAGAAAGCCCCAGAACTAAAAGCATGACTGAACACTGACAAACTCCTGATATCTAACATCAACTGAGACCTCACAGCTCATGGGAAATCCTTTTCAGAATTCCTGCATGTTCCCTAGTAAACTATCTATAGTAGCTGTTCCAAATATTCACCCTCCTCTTCACACACTTCTACTTCCCCTCTTCTTCTTTCCTAGAAATAAATCAAGACCTTCAGTTCTGAGAGTCCTCACTCTTTCAGATCCTCCGTGACCCTCCCATCTCCACTCTAGCTAACCTGAGGGGCCAGGGAAGTACCAGGATCCTGTCAGAACCACGGTCAGCACCAATACCTAGTGCTAGAGTGGGGAAGGGTGTACGTGACTGTAACAGCTGGCCTAGGAACAAGCCTCAAAGCTGGAACAACTCAAGCTCTATCAGGGCACACCATCAGCCCAATCTGGAAAAGCCCCTGCCCAGCCCTGCCTCTCTCTTTGTATTTGGACCACCACTCTCTGGCACTTCCAGCTAGGCAGTTCTTCTTTTCTTAACATCTCATATTTTCTAGGTTGAAGCTCTCAATTTCTGTTCAGGGCCAATGACTGCCCTTTCTAGGTCAGGATGTCTTGCAGATGTGTGTGTGTTTGGGGAGGGGGGATGAGATTAGGTCCCAGACAGGCAGACATCAAGTTGGGCTGGCAGCAGATGGTGGGCCCAGCCAAGGTGACATAGGATTGCAGACTCAATAGAAGGATCTGGTCAAGAACACAGGAGGTGAGAGACAGGGACCCAGGTACTGGACCTGGCTCAAAGCATCATAGGTGTCATAGGGGCTGAGGCAGAAGTATAGCCCTTGATTGGATCAGGACTGGTCCAGATTCTGGCCAGGGTCAGATGTTCAGCCTGCCCCTGGGGGAGAGTGGCCCTAACTGTGGGTATTGGAAGACTTGGGTGGGGACAGAAGCTGGACATACAGAGTAGGGGTTAAGCACGCAGGCTTTGACTTTTTCCAGACTTCTTCCATAAAGCTGCTTGAACACCAGCTTTATGATTTACTATGTGTCCTTGGGAAAGTTTCTTAATTCTCTGAGCCTGGCTTCACTATCTGGGTATATAAAGTTGATGGCACATTGGTAAGTACTCAGAAACGGTATCTCTTATTATTTTCTTCCCTCCTCAATGTTTCTCTGTAAAATCTTCCTTTTTTCCTACTGCCCATCTCCATTTCCCTTTTCCAAAATGACTGTGCTCTCTGGGCCCTAGGCCCAGCCCCTTTGTCCTGGATGATGCCCAGGATCTTGCTTTTTCACCTATGTCTTCTCTCTTCCAGTGTCTTCAGCGGCACCATCCCCAACAAGGTAACTGTCTCTCCATCTTCACATGGGCAGCCTTGCCTGTCCTGAAAGCCACTCACTTGCCTCTGCTTCTCTTTAGTTGCTGCCCTTTCATGCCCTGCTTCCCTGAGGGCTCTGAGTTCACCATTTCCACTTCTTCCCACCCACACGTTTCTTTTTCAAAAAATCTGTTTCAACTATTTTATTATGGAGAATTTCTAACATATAGAAAAGTAGACAATAATATAATAAAGCCCATCTACCAATCACCCATCTTCAGAAGCAAATTTTGTTTGGTCCATGTCTTAGTCTCTTAGAGCTGATACCACAAAGTGAGTGGCTTTAAAGAACAGAAATGTATTGTCTCACAGTTCTGGAGGCTAGAAATTCAAATCAAGGAATTGGGCATGTTGATTCCTTCTGCAGGCTCTGAGAACCTGTGCCTGCCTCTCTCCTAGCTTTTGGTAGCCGCCGGCAATCCTTGGTATTCTTTGGCTTGTAGATGCGTCTTCACGTGCCGTCTTCCCCTGTGTAGCTCTGACTCGGTGTTTGTCCTCCCTTTCTATAAAATACCACTCAGATGGGATTAGGATTCACCCTACTCCAGTATGATTTCGTTAGCTTAACTGATAACATCTTTAAAGAAAGACCTAACTTCCGCACAAGGTCACATTCACAGGTACAGAGGCTAGGACTTCAACATATCTTTTGGGGGACACAGTTCAATCCATAACACTCCACTTCCCCTTCTCCCCTATTATTTTGTAACAAATCCCACAATCATTCCATCAATAGCTATTTTGGTTTTAATTTTTTTTTTTTTTTAAATTGTAGGGTATTTAATTTTCCTTTTTTTTTTTTTTTAATTTTATTGTACTTCAGGTGAAGGCTTACAGAACAAATAGTTTCTCATGAAACAGTAGTACA